CACATTAAGCAGTTTAAGTATAAAGGATCCGAAGCACTCACAAAGCCATGTACCGTCAAACCTGACTGGGCAAAGTTATCAGGGCAAGCCGTTCAAAACTGGGACCTTTTGAGATTGCTGCCAGTTTTGATTGGTGACAAAGTGCAAAACCATGAGGATGAAGTATGGCAGTTATCTCTCCAGTTGAAAGACATTGCAGATCTTATTAGTGCTCAGAGCATTTCCTTGTCCGATAGCATTGACATTTTGATCCAAAAATATTAGGAGATGAGAAAGATGTTGTTTCCTGAAATTCAACTAAAACCCAAACACCACTATTTGTGCCATTATTCAGCAGTGTTGTTGAAATTTGGTCCATTGATGAGGTTATGGACACTCAGGTTTGAAAGTAAACAGTTATTTTAAAAGATGTGCCAGACACTTGAAAAACTTCAAAAATATTTGTCAAACTTTGTCAGCACGTCATCAGATGTATCAGGCTTATCTTTTAGCTGGGCAAGAACGCCGTAAACTACTGCAAGTGAAGGAGAGCTGTGCATTTTATCCCAACCTCTACAGTGACACTATTAAGCATGCAGTCAGGGAGTTAGCCTTTTCAGGAAGCAATACCACAGTTACCACAGACATTCAGTACAAGGGCACTGTGTACAGAAAGGACGAGTATATGGAGTTCGGTGAACTTCTACTCATGTTGATTCAAAATGACACATCTGTGTATATTTTGATGGATATCCACAAAGGCATCTTCCTCTCAGAATACCATCTGTATTCTATAACAAAGGACAGTCTTGGGTTACAGTGTATCAACATTAAAGACCTGCCTGATTTCTATCCTTTGGTATCATCCATCCATCCACCCAGATGGATGGATGGATGGTATCATACATTCTTGATGGACACCAAGTCATTCCACTAAAGCACAGTATTGTGACAAAATAAAGTCCAATTAATAGCTCACTTCTCGCTGTAAATAGTTTGACATTAATATAAGTGTTACCTAATGCATATCCCTGCTCTGTTAAGTGTATGAACTGTATATTTTTTTCTTTTTTGTTTGGAGGTGGCATTTCTTCTTCAGTGCAAATATGAGTGACTCCGAGCGAACCTTCCTAGATGTCGCCATCATGGAAGTCCTACCAGAACTTCAAGCAGTAAACAAAAACGTCCTGGAAGAGCACTTGCAGTCCATTGGAGTCGAGATGGATGATGATCTACGCTCCGTAATGGAGGCTGATTTGATTTGCATTAAGACCTGTACAAACCAGAAAGCTTCTTTCTACTTGGAAACAGAAATGTAAGTAAAAACACCATACAACACACAACTATTCAAAATCAAAAGCAGACATGGTCAAGGACAGACATACAGTGTGACTCATAATCATATTTTTTGGTCATTTAAAGACCAAACTCCCGAGAACAGCTCCCTATCATCTGTGGAAGCCTCACCTACCCAATCGCTGTCATCGCTCTGTTTCACTCCGAAGTCTATCGTCAACCTCCTCCAGCAGCCCAGGACGTGACACACATTGGGATGACAACTTTGAAATTCCATGGAGTAAACTTCCTGCGGAAGTGATGCATTCTCTTGAGAGGGGGAAAAGACCTGGTCCAAAACTGAGGAGGCAAATGGTCCGGATTGTTGTGACTGAGATGATGGAAAAATGCCCTCATGTACAGGTAGGTAGAAAACATTCAACTGACGTTGCAAAAAAAATATCCCAATTCTCTGCAAGATGTAATAGAGTGTGATATTGTTGGAACAGGCTACCTTTCCCTTGTCAAACAGTTTCAGAACAGAATTGAAAATGTGAGGCGCACTTCAACACCCAAAATAAGAAAAAGAAAACATCAGACTGACTCAGACCACACAGACGAGATCCCATTAGAAGAAAGAGCAGCAATGCAGGACACATACGGGTGAGAGAGATGGAGAATGCCGCTTCTTTCAAAAAGATTTATGACCCAAAGGTCTAAAAGGTCACGGGTCAAAAATTCACTGGATTGGCGGGTCTGGGGCGTGACGTCACCTGGCTGTGAGCCAGCAACGACTAGTGACGTTGGGAGAGGTTTTTTAAAATATTTATTTATTTATTATTAATCAATTATTTATTAATATAATATTTATTATTAATTAATAATTATTTATTTATTTATTTTTATTTGAGGAGAGTGAATTGTGTGCTTATGAGTGGGTTTTTGTGGGAATAGCCCCATGCTACGAGGGTGCCGAGGACGGAGCTGAGGACGGGGGCTGACTGGGTCGGTTACCTGATGGAGTGTGAGCGTACGCTGGGTCTGATGCGGTACCTTGGGAAGGTCCCAGTCGGTCCAGCGGAGCGTGTACTTGGG